GCTGTAGAAGCGAGTAGGGCGGCCGAGGCAGCGCTTGTGGCGAACTATGTACCCGGCTGATGTTGTTGAGCCCTGTTTCCCTCCCTGCCGTATGCTATACTCCTTTAGGTATGTCCTTTTTATTGCCTTCGGCCTCTGTGCTGTGTTTCCTTTTTCATGACCTCCCTGCCTACTCTGCTGTGTTGGGTACCTTGAGCTCGCTTTGCTGTTGCCTTTGTTTTTGTACGTCTGGCTGTCTGCCCATCTGCCGCCTCTTTGCCCTGTTTGCTCCGTTACTCCCATGCCCTGGTGCGCAGTGCCTGGTGCTGGTACGTTACCCTTTGATTTTTCTTTGGGCGGGTGTGGGAAGCGTCCTCCTTTATTTTTGTTTTGTTTTATTTTGATCGGTGTCCGAGGGCTCTTTTCTCGAACGGTCGGTGCGATACCTGTTCTTTTCTTTCTATCATTTTGTTTTCTTTTTCCGAGTCGTTTGTACCCTATTTTTGTTTTTTTTTTGTTTTCTCGCGGCGTCGTATGTGCCGGGTTTTGAGACCACGGGCTCCCCATTTTTGTGGACGACAGAGCTAATGTGAGAAACAACAAGAAACAAAACAACAATGTACACGTGTACGCTACTACTGCTGCTGCGATCCCGCACTTTCTCGCGGGGGTCTCGGAGGTCCGTACTTGGTCCAAGTCTTTTCGTTCGCAGACGACCCGCTCGCCCACTCAAAGTTTACCACGCACAACCTCTGTTGCGACAATTAGCCGTACGTCTGCAGCCGGTATCACCGCGATCCCCTACTGTTTCAGGCGGCTCGTTGTCGTCGCCTGACCACCAGCTAGGCGAACACTTCCCCCCTTGCTTGTACGAATGACTGGAGGAATGAACATTAACACGCTATTATTGTGTGTACGGCGGTACCGGTATGAGATACAAGCAGGTTAATGTACTGCTGTAGTACTGCTGTAGTCGTGGCGCATTTTTTCACCCGCGGAGGTCATCATGTTGTTACGTTGGCCCTTGT